GCCGCCGCCGCGCCCGTCCCGCGCTGCGCCCGCCCCGAGCTCGAGCCGCCAGCCGCGCCCGTCTCCGAGCGCTGGCGGCTTGGAACCCGAGCTTGAAACTCAAGCTCGAAATTGCGTGCGAGAAAAAGAAATCTCCCTTGCAAGTTCCGTTGCTACGCTCACTTCGCGCCTCCGCAATCTCCCCCACCCACCCCCTCCCCCCTCCCCCCTCCCCCCATGCCCCCTCGCCCCCACGCTCTTCGGCGGCTACGCCGCCCCTCCCGACCCTTCAGGCGGCTACACCGCCATGCCCTTCGGCGGCTACTCCGCCCCGCGATCCATTCCCGCCTCCACTTCCGTCTCTCTGGCTGCAATTCGTTTTTCTCAACCGCGCTGGGCCTCGCGCTGCCCCCCGCCCCCGCCCCTCCCGCGCGCGGGCGTCGGCGCAATGGGGAAACGCGCCCTGCAGGTGGACAAGCAGGTGGAGCAGCGGGCTCGACTGCAACAGTGTCTGGCCCTGCGCGGCGTGTCCGCGGCTTTGCTCGAGCGAATCGTGACTGCGCTTGGCCATGGCGACGACGCGGGCGATGCTATAGACGTGAGCGCTCGGGCCATGCAGCGATCGCAGACGGCATCCGTGGCCGATCTCATCAGCGCAGTGCGGCTGCAGCCCAAGATCGGCACGCCTTTCCGATGGAGCGTGGCGCTGCCGCATCGGCTGATGCCGAGGCTCCTGTCGGACTGCCCTCTCTGGAGTTCAATGTTTTGGGAAGCGATGCGCCGTTTCCCTGTGTCGCGCGATCGGCCGTGGAGGCTTTTGCTGTACTACGACGACATTGGCGTGGGCAACGCCTTGAAGATAGATAATCGTCGGAATCAGCTCGCGGTGTATGCGAGTTTCCTCGAGTTCGGATCCTTCTTGCAGAAGGAGGTTGCGTGGCTGCCGATCGGCACCTTGCGCGTCGTCGTGAAGAAGAGCATCGGCGGCTCGGCCGCGGCGCGGGCATTGCTTCGCGCGCTGTTCCTGGGCCCAGAGAGTCTGTCGGAGCACGGTGCGCCAATCGGCGGCGTGCACTTTTTCGCCAAGTTCCACCGCTTGATTGCAGACGAGGCGGCTGGAAAAGAGACATTCTGCACCAAGGGCGCTGCAGGTCTGAGACCGTGCTTGCAATGCAAGAACGTTGTGCTGGATCAGGCGGAATGTCTTGCAGACTACGACGACGATGATTACCTCGTGCCTCTCTGGTGCGCTGACTCGTCGCGCTTTGACCCGCTGTCGTCAGACGAGTTTTTGCAGCAATATGATGATTTGGCGTCGCTGCGGGACACGACAACCAGAGCGAACATCGAGAGACTGGAGCCAGGGAGGAAAACATTTCCATCGATCCCCTTCTGATGTCCCCCCCTTCCTTCCCTTCTGATGTTCCGGCCCCCGAAGGAGACGGCAATGGGCATCACTCTGGATGACCGTTCTCTGGTGGCGTGCCAGGCGTTGCGGACGGTGGCGCCGCCGAGCACATACGTGAGGGACCCCATGCATACCATGCTGGCCAGCGGCGGGACCTTGCAGGTCGAAATCTTTGCGCTCCTCAAGGCGGTGAGGGATGTCATCCCCGACGCGTGGGGAACGTGGCGGGATCGCTGCTCGGCGTGGCGGACTGGCAGACGCGGCAGGAAACCGCCAGCGTTTCTGTTCAGCGTGGCTCGGAAGAAAGCGACCTGCAAGGCGTCGCACTTCGTGGGCAAGGCGTCGGATTGCTTGGCCGTGTTCCCTTTGATTCGTCATTGGGTGCACACAGAGCTGCGTCCCAGCGGCATGGCGAACGCTGCGGCGCGGTCGTTCGAGGCGATGGCGAAGATGCTCGAATTGTACATGCAGGGCAAAAGGACATGCGGCCGCAGCTGAAACGCAAACGCTGGCCTGCGCGTTCGAGGATGCACCGCGTCGGCCCGCGCGCATCCTCGAGCGCTTAGGTGGCAGGCGGTTCGGCTACGTCCTGAGGATCGGCGCCGTGCCGAATTTGATAGCTGTCTGGACCAAGGCCGTTTCGATTTCCTTGGCGCTGCACAAAGCCGCGCACGGGCCAGCCCTGATCAAGCCGAAGCATCATTATTTGTGGCACGTCCCCGACCAGCCTGCGGAGGACGGCATCTGGTTGGACGCCTTCGTACTCGAGCGGAAGCACAACCTGCTTCGGTCCAGGTCGCAGGAGATCGACAACCCTGAGAATTTCGAGCGGTCGGCCTTGACGGCGATGCTCGCCTGCTTCCTGGAGGAAGCGAAGGAGGCGCCGCGCTCCCGCGCCAAAGCGTGGCGCACGCCAGAGCTGGACAGTACGTTCGGGCACTCGGGGCGCAACCTTGCATGCCCTTTGTGGAGGAAGATGGGCTGGGAGAGGGGAAGGCGGTTTGCCGCCGAGGCGGCTCGCCGCCAGGAGGAGGAGGAGGAGGAGGAGGAGGAGGAGGAGGAGGAGGAACCCCTCCGCAGGGCTGAAACGTGGACCAGCAGAGAGGCGTCGATCGACGGCCAGATGCACGGCAGCCAGGACAGACGGCGCAACCAACCTTGGTATTTAGGGGTGCACATGCGTGTGCCCCCCCAAAAATCGAGGCGTTGCTGCCCTCAGGATTTTCTCCTGGGCGACGGCGAGGCGTACATCGTGCATTGCTGCGCGCAGGCTGGCGCCGCCAGCTACCTGCTGGTGGAGACCCTGGAATGGGTGCGCGCGCCATGCCCAGGCGCGTCCCTGTGGCGGCCGCGCGGCGACGTCGCCGTGATGCCCGCCGAGCTGATCCCGCCAGCCTGGGCGGCTTATCGGCGACTACAGGACGATGGCTATGTGCTCGCCATCACGTGAAAAAGGAAAAAACGAGCGCATGCGAGAGCGGATATGCCGCTGGCGGATGCGCCGCCCTTCGATAGAGAGGTGCAGGAGGGAGGGGCGGATATGCCGCCGAAGAAGGAAGGCGGGCTCGGGGAGGGAAGGCGGCAGGAGGGAGCGGGGGCGGGCTGGCCGCCGACAACGAGGAGAGGAGAGGGGAGGCGGTGATGGCCGCCGAGGGGAGGCAGTTTGAAGAATAGTTGATCCCCCCCCCTCTCCCTCTCCCCCCTTCCCCTCCGCGCCCCGCAGGCGTCCTGAGGGCGGCTCGGCGCGTCGACCTGCGGCGCCCTGTCCTGAAAAACTGTTGTGTTGTAGTTGTTAAAACGTTTTTTGTGGTTTTTTCCCGAAACATAGCAATATCAAGAACAAACATGCAAAACATAGAAAGTTATGCAAATTTCGGGTTAACCGAATCGGACAGCCCACATCGACTTAGCTGACTTAGCTACTAAGTTGGGTATGTTGAGGTGTATGTATCGATATATCTTGGCAGTGGTACCCGATAGCTCAGTTGATAAGATGGATGGTTCTGTGAGTAGTATGTATGGTATGTTGTTGAATATACTTATCTAACAAAACGTTAAGTAGATGAATGCGAAGTTCGATATTTTATATATGTTGAATATGTGAGGTCAACTAGCATGAACCTACATACATCTTCGTTGAAACGATTTCATCGGATATACAACGCTCTTACCGCACTTACACCCACCCGACGATCACAGAGTCGGCTCGCCGGGCGGCCACCTCGCGCGCCTCGCGCCGCGCCCAGGCCTCAAGCAACACCTGCTGGGTGTCACGCAAGGCTTTGTCGGCCGGCCGCCACCCGTCTGGGCACCCAGGGACGCCGCGCCAGAGCTCCACCTCGGACCCGAGCCCCAGTGCCGCAAGGCTCCGCGTGGCCGCGGCGATTGGCCCGCACCCGCGCCCATGGCCCGCGGCCATGGCCCCCTCCGCCTGCCGCCACAGATCGCGCGGGAACCTGCCTCTGCGGAGCGCCTTTGCCAGCTGCCAGAGCGGCGCGATCGTGACCACGGCCAGGGGGTCGAGGCGCCACGTCGGGCTCAGAACGCCGAACACCACCTCGGCCGCGGCACGCAGCCTGCCCCGGCACACGGCCGCCCGCGCGGCCGTCCGGAGGCCCGCGAGCTCCCGGGCGGGCGGGCGCCCACACGACGCCCCATACAGCCCGGCAGCGGTTCCAGCTGCGGCGCCCAGCAGGCAACGCTGGTGGAACGGCACCGGCAGGCGCCCGACGCGCACGACGCGGCCCCCTGCAACCCTCGCCCGGGCGCCGGCCACAGCGCAACGCCGGGCTGACCCAACATGGGCGACCACGCCCAAGCCGCGGAAGCCGCAGCGGACGGCGATCGCAGGCACCTGGGTGGACAGCCAACGCCGCAGCTCCCTCGAATTCGCGAACAGGCGGCTCTTATCGTGATTGAGTTGCCATCCCATGGCCGTTTCGAACGCTTCAGTGAGCTGCATCCCGCTGCAGACCGCTTCTGCGACGTCGCCCGCCTCGTCGGCCTTGCCGCGGGCCCACAGCGTGAAGTCGTCGACGTAGAGGCGCCGCCGCAATCGGTCGTCCACGGACCCCGTGCGCCGGAACCACGGGTGCGTGAGCACGCCGAGGAAGAACACCGCCAGGGCACAGCCCGGCAGCAGGCCCCGAGCCGGCGACCATGCTCCACCAATGGCGCGCCCGACGCGGACCCGGCGCTTGGCCGTGTACGCCCCCATTGCCGGCTGGGCGATCCATGCAGGCACCCCCGCGCGGGCCAGGATGCCCGGGAGAGTCGCCAGGTCGACGTTGTCGTAGGCCTTCCGCCAATCCACCGCTGCGCCGGCAAGCACCTCCGACAGGGCCTCGGCGGCTTCCAGCTCCACGGCGAGCTCCCACACCAGCTCCTCGGCGCCCCGCTGTACGTCCTCTCCTGCCCAGCTAAGACGCCAGCGGGCGAACAGCCGCGCGCGGCCAGCGGCCCAGACGCGGTAGATCATTGGGAGGAGCCAAATGGGCCGACGTTCCATGGGCCCAGCACCCCCGCCCTGCTTGGGGAGCAGGAGGCCTTCGGGCTCCGCCAGCTCGGAAGGCCACTGGCCGCCGGCCTCCACCGCCTCCAGGACGTCGGCTATTCAGCCGTGCAGCTCCCGCGGCAGCAAGCGCAGCTCTTTGACCGACCACCCGTCTAGCCCGGCTTTCTTCCGGCGGGGCATTCGCCGGAGGATCTCGGCCACGAGGTCCGCTGTCCACGGCTCCCGGTCTGGGAACGCGGGCAAGCCGTCCAGCTCTTGCAGCCAGTCTTCCCCCAGCTGCGGGGGCGAGCGCCCTTGCCAGAGCTGCCGCCACGGGCCTTCGAAGAAGCGGAGGCGGGCTGCGGGCCCCCCTTGCAGCGCTAAGAGCCAACACCGCCGCCCTGCTACCTCTACAGAGGCCGCCGGGTCCACTGCCGGATCTGGCACGAGCTCGGCCTCGAGGGTGCCGCCGCCGCGGATCCAGCGGTAAAGACGACCCTGTTCGTCGGACACGCTTGCCTTGACCCAGTCGCGCCAGGCATCCTGTCGGCGACTGCGGGCGCTCGCACGGGCCGAGCGCCAGGCGGCCTCCGCCTGCTCCAGCACGCCGTCGGGGAGCACCTCGTCCACGCTCAGCCCCGCAAGCGCAGCAGACCAATCTGGCTGCCCGGCATCTGCCGCACGGAGGGCGGCGAGCGTGGCTGCCGCCACCTCTCGTGCATTTGCCGCCAGAGAGCGGCCCTGGGCATGCCGGAGCCCGCGCAGCCGCCGCAGCCGGAGGAGGGCGGCGTCGGCCGCCGCGTCCGCAGCTTCGCCGCCGCCGCCGGTCGTCGCGAGCCGTTCAGCCTCCCAGGCTGCTGCCGCATGCGGTCGTTCGGGGACTGTCCCCAGGCCCATCCGGGTAGCCAGCCACGCCCGCATGGCCTGGCTGAGGGTGGCCCAAGCGGCGTCCATGTCGTGGGTGCTCAACGCACCGCGGAAGGCGCCCTCGAAGCCGGCCAACACCGAGGCCGTGGCGCTCCTCGCTGCGGCGGGACTCCACCCTGCCTGAGCGGCACCATCAAGGGGAGCGACCGGCCGCCTGAGCAGGGCGCGCTCGGGGGCTTCGGCGCGCAGCTCCACCAGTAAGGCCGCGTGCGTGGCGATGCCGAGGTCCCATCGCAGCCCTACCCTCTGCACTAGGCCGAGCGCCTGGGGGTTGGCCAGCACGTAGTCAATGCGGGAGGGCTCGCCTGACGATGGCAAACACGTAGGTCCCGCGGCTGCCAGGAGGTCCCTCCAGCCTGCCATGCCCAAGACCCCCTCGAAGCCGGAGTCGCCGATCCGGAAGTTGAGGTCGCCCACGAGGAATGCCGGGGCCTGACCCAAGCCCTGGAGCCACCCCGCAGCCTCGATCAAAAGGTTCACATTCCTCTCCCTGTCACTCTGGCCGCCGGCGTAGCCGTAGCAGTTCAGGAAGTGCACGGCGCGCCCGAAGCCGAAATGCACCGCGACATGCTGGAGGCGGCCGGGGTGCCGCCCACTGAGGCCCAGCATGGGCTCCGCCCGTGCCTGGCACTTGGCGGGGGCGTGGGCCGCGGCCAGCAAGTGCTCGCCCTCCTGCTCCTGCCCGGGGTGCAAAGTCAATCCCCTCGCCCGAGCGGCAGCGGCTGCGGCCTCCGCCTCCGCTGACGGGATGCGCGCTTCCTGCGCGCAGACTACCGCCGGATCCGCCGCAAGGAGCCCGCGCCAACTGGCGCTCCAGCGCGTCACATTGGCAACCACCACCGTAGCCGCCAAGCCTTCGGGCCCTGGCAGCGACGCCTCGCCCACGCGGACGCCTCGCCACGGCCACCCGCGCCATCGGGCCTGACCGAGGCCGAAGTGCACGGCCAAGTGCGGGTGCCGGCCCAAGTGGCATCCAGCGAGGCTCGCCATGGGCTCCGGTCGAGTCGCGCACTGACCCAGCCAACCGGCGCGGGGCCGAGCGCCCCCGGGGCGCCGCGGCTGGCCGCGCCCGCTCGCGTGGAGCAAGGGGTGGGTTGCCTCGCGGCGGAGCCGCCTCGGCTGGGGAGAGGCGGCGGCGGTTGCCGGCAGCGCGGCCCGGCAACCCGCTGGGGCGGGGCCGAGGGCTGCGACGACAGGGGGCCGAATCCCCCCGCCCTCAGCCCGCTCAAGGCCGCCAGGGGGCCGCAACTGCGTTCCTGGCTGCACCTTGGCCCGTACCGAGCCCGCCGGGCCGCTGCCCAGTGGCCCTGGGGGGGCCGTTGCCGCCAGCGTCGCCCGGCAACCTCGTGCGAGGCGTGCCTTACGGCGGGGGCCGCTGGGAAGATGGCGCCCCGGGCCGTCTTCCCACCTGGGGCGCGGCTGGCAGCGCGGCCCCGGGTGCCGCGCCTCGCCAACCCTGACGCCCTTCCATGGGCTCTGCAGCCCGCGCTCCCGGGATGGCCGCAGCAGCGCAAGCAGCCCCGCGACGCATCCGCAGCTCACAGTTGGCCCTCCCCGGGGCTCCACACCACCTCTCACCCGCACGCGCCGGCTGCTGCGGTGCGTCTGGCGGCGGCTGCGCGGACGTGGCACCATCAGGCACCGCCAGGTACCCACGTGCCGCCGCGGCAAGGCGCGCGCAGCGCCGCAGGGGCAACGTGCGCTGCCCGGGCGCCAGTTGCGCGGGCTGGGCGAAGAGAGGGACACGGGGCTCTGGGGAGCCTCCGCGGTCCGTGGACCGGGAACGGTCGCCGTCCTCGGAGCTTCCGCGCAAGGGGGAAGACCAACGCGACCTCGCGCCCACGGAGGCCGCGCGCCGCCTGCTGCCGCCGGGCGCGGCCGCCGCGCGTGCGTCGCAGGGAGGAGGGGGCCCTGCTGCGGCAGGCATGCCTGCATCGGCCGGCGCCCCAGCCGCCCCGCCTCCTGGGTGCCCTGAGCCGCCGCCCGGGCCGGCCGCCGCCCCCGCACCACCTGCAGGCCCAGCATGCCCTGCGCCACCGGGCGCAAGCAGCGCGCCCCGGAGCTGCTGCACCAGGGCCCCGGCGCCAGCCGCCTGCCCGGGAGCCTGCAATGCCGCGCATGCGGCGGCGAGGGCAGCGAAGGCGCCGTCGAGCCCTGCGGCTGCGGCGGTCGTGCCCGCGGCATCGCGAGCAGCCGCGGCCTCTGCCTGCACTGCCTGCAGCGTCTGCTGCGCCGCGTGCTGGTCCGCGATGGCCTGAGCGGCATGCGCATCGGCCTCCTCCGCCGCCAACCGGGCAGCCTCGGCCGCAGCCCGCGCGGCCTGCGCTGCCTCCTGCGCCTTCTGCGCTGCTGCGTCGCGGTTGCGCACCGTGTCCATCGCCGACTGCAGGCGGCGATCCAGCGGGCGCGCCGCGCGCTCCGCCTCCCTGAGACCCGCCGCCTGCGCCTCCAGCTCCTCCACGTGCGGCGCGTGCAGCTCCAGACTTCCTGTGGCATGTGTGCGGCTACAGGCGCGCCGAGATGGCTTCAGATGTCCGTGGATGTGCTTCGGCATATCGGTAGATGTTGGATGTGCGACAGGACGTGCCATCATATATGTGTCTCCGCACGTCCTGCGGTAAAGTTCAGTTGGAGTGCCCTGCTGTGGAGTAGCGTTCAGGACGGGGCGTGGCTATCATATCCGATGGTGTAGTTCTCTCCATACGTCCTGTGATACTTACGATTGCTTTAGACGCCCTGTTGTACATATGCTTTGTAGGCGGTACATCTATCTACATGTTTGCATTGATGTATTTTACGGCGTAGGATCCCACCTCACGTCAGGAGAGGACGAGGAGGAGGAGGAGCAGGAGTAAATGGCAACGGGAGGATGAGGATGTGGAAGGGGGATAACCCGTCCAGAGACGATGCCCAGGGGAAGTATCGGGAGGAGGGACGTACATAAGCATGTAGTGAAGCATGGAGATCAAGAATGTTGATTTTAGGGACTTCCAGGAGCCTCTTGGATGCCTCTTGCAGCCATCTTGGAGCTCTCTTGGGGCCCTCCTGGAGCCCTCAAGCCGCCTTTTGGGCTCGCTTTGGGCCCTGTTGGGGATCTTGCGGCCATCAATCAAAGCATGAGATTCTAAATTACGTCGCCGCCCCCGTCGAAGGTCGAAACTAACCCACCGTGGGGCAGTGTTGGGCATTCTTGGGCGCTCTTGGGGCCGTCTTGGAACCCGGACGGGCCCCCATGGGGCTCTCTTTCGCAATATTGGAGCCACCTTGAGGCTTCAAAAGATCATTCTCAGAAGCAAATAGGCGAGAAGGCACACAGTGCAGATCGTCCTTGTGCATTTGAACTCTTCACGCTTCGCGTATCCTTACCAACCCCGGGGTTGCGTCCTTACATTAATCTCAGCTTCTGGCCCGGGTCGTCGTGTGTCCAGACTCCCTGGTGTCCGACGCTTTGCACATTTGCACGCTGGCAGTTCGACTCCGTTTCAGCTGTCCCCCCACTCGCCGGTCCGCCGCTGGGCTGTTGCGTGAGGGCTCAGTTTGCCGCTGTAGGTGTAGCCTCCCTCCGTCGCCTTAGGTTAATTCGTCGCTGCGTGCCCCGCTTTGACTGGACTCGCCGCCGGCGCGCTCGCCCGCGGCCGCTGACTAAAAAAAGTCCTTACCAACGCATTCAGAGACCCTGACCTGGAGAGCTGACGGGAAAGGGGACTAAGAGACACATCTAGTGAAACAAAGCGAGCAACCAGGGTAAACCGAGAGATTTCCAAGGCTCTTTTGAGGAGTCTTGGAGTTCTTTGGGGGCTCTTTTGAGAGGTCTCGGGGAGCTCTTGGGGCCCTCTTGAGGCCCTCTTGGAGCTCTCTTGGGGCTATCTCGGGGTCTTGGGAGCCCTGGAGGGCCTCGTAGGGCTGTCGTGGAGGGTGTCGGTGAAAAGAGGGGGACACTACTGTTTAGCCCCCCGTTCTGGGCCATCAAGATAAGAGATTGGGGCGCGTTTGGCCCCCTCCTGGGGCGCTCTTGGGCGGTCTTGGGGCCGTCTTCGGGGCATCTTGGGCCCCTCTTGGAGCTCTCTTGGGCCATCTTGGGGCCACATTGACGATCCAAAAACTAATCGGAAGCGAAAAGGCGAGAATGCAAAACTCAGTGATTTTCCCAGGTTGTTGAAGGAGTTTGGCTTCTCGGGGAGGTCCTTAGGGTCTTTGAGGGCACCTGGATACGTCTTGTGGCCGTCTTGCGGCGTCTTGGAGGCATGGTGGAGGATATGGAGCGATCTTGCGCTATCTGGAGCCTTCTTGGAGGCCATCATGGAGCATCGGATGGATGCCCTCATTGAGCCATCTTGAGTGAAACAAGAGCCCTATGAGGACTCGCGACTCTCCCGTCCAGACCCCTGGGAGGGGAGGGTGAGGGTATCCGTCCCCAGAGGGAAGAGGGTTTTGAAAGAGGAAAGAAAACGATCTCGTCAGACCACCTACGCCCAGAGGCTGGTGGGATTGTGGGCTCGCGTCTCGAGGGTGTGCTTATGAGGCTCCGAGGCCACTTAGAGCCATCCTGGGGCGGCATGGCAGCATCTTGGAAACAGTTTGCTATATATATATATATGTGTGTGTGTGTTTGTGTGTTTGTGTGTGTGTGTGTGTGTGTGTGTTCAGCCATCCTGCACATGTTGCTCTTTGTGCCAGCGTGGCCCTTTCGTCTGAGAGGTCCTGGCAGTGCGAGTCCGAACGAGCCCAAAGGACATGCCATGTCTACGAGATCGCGGTTTCCATGGGGCTATGAGGAGACTCGTCCACCAGACCAGGACGGGCGATTCCCTGGAGATGACCCGATAGTGTCGGCGCGAACAGGCCCGTTGAAAACCTCTGCTCGGCGCCACTTTGAAGGCCCAGGCACGGTGCCTGCTACATTGTGGAGGGTATGTGCACAGGTGGTTGTGAAGATGAGGGGGCCCGCCCGAGTACGAATGAGTCTACATATGGTGACTTCCCATGGGAGCCCTGTTGCGCGTGAGGAGGTCTGAGTACAACTGCGCGTACGAGTATGCGTGGATGTGAGTACAGGAGCGTCGGAGCGGGATGGGGCCTGAACAGGAGTCAGGCTGAGTGTTGGTGAGTCCGAGTCTAGGTGCGTCTGAGTGTGAGCGCGATTGGGGCCGAATGAGTCTGAATTGAGCGAGTCTGACTGAATAAGTTTGAGATTGAATGAGTCCGAGTTTAAGTTATTGAGCGCGAGAGGGGAGGTTGGAGTTGAGAAAGGCGGAGGTCACACTACAACATGACGAGAAGCCCATACGGAAGGTATGAGGGAAAATAGCCAGAAGTCCAACAAATCTGGATCCACGATCCTCCGTCCTGTTCCGCCTCCCCTTCCCCCTCCTCCTCCTCCTCCTCCGCCCCGCGATCAACCTGCGACCAGGGGCAACCTGCGGGCCTGCAGGCAGGAGGCCAGGGAGGAAGAGCAGGAGGAAGAGCAGGCCCCCTGGGGGGTCCAGGCGCAGACCTCTCCGTCGTCCCCGCCGTTGTGTCGTCCCCCTCCTCCCCTCTCCTGGCATCGGTTCCTCTCTCGGTCGTCGTCCCCTCGCCGTGGTCTTTCCCTGACCCTCGCTTCGATCGCCTCGTCGGGCCCTCGTTCGGTCACCCTCGTCGCTTGTGAGGCTCTGTGTGGGAGTCAGCGCTGGACTCTAAGCCACGTCCAGATACGCCGTCTCCCTCTCCTCTCGTGCACCCTCCAGGGGTAGGAGGCGGCCCTAGCGTGTCCCTCCCCCATGGAGGGTGCCCCAGCGCACCCTCACGCATCCTCATTGTATCCCGCCCCCCCTCCCAAGGAGGGCGGGGGGGGGAGGGCTGCGCCAACGCGGATCTGCAGCCCGCATCTTCGAAGGCCTCGAAGGAGGAGACCATGGGCCCACAGTCAGCCGCCCTGGCCTCTTCGGCCCCTCGCTCCCGATGTGTCTCTGGAGGCATTTCTGGAGGCTCCCCGAGGCCCCCAGAGGCCTCCAGAGTCGGGGCTCAAGACACGGGGGTCCATGCAAACGGGAGTCAGCGGGAACTCCGGATCTTGCAGGGTCCTGCATGGTCAGGGTTGCGTTGACCCAGGCCAGGGAGGGCGTAGGATCCTGCATGATCTTACAAGATCCTGCGAAGCCCGAATGACCAGGGGGTGCGTTGACCCAGGTCAGTATATCCCCGATAGAGGCCTTCTATCCTCTGCCCTCGATCCTCCCGCATCCCTTCTGCTCCCTTGAGGGGTAACATTCGGGTGGGACTCGGCTGAGGGGGAAGGCATCGACTCCCAATCGCCCATGCATCGCCGATGGGGGCCAGATAGCCTACCCCGCCCAGGATCGCGCGGATCCCCCATCGGAGGCCATCGCCGACTAGCGGCGATGCATCGCCGAGCCTAGGTCGATGCCCCCCCCCCTTAAGCCAGTCCCCCCCTTTCGTCGCCCCCTGTCCCTCCTCCGTCCTCATCATCATCATCATCATCATCATCATCATCATCATCATCATCATCATCATCATCATCATCATCATCATCATCATCATCATCATCATCATCATCATCATAATCATAATCATCATCATCATCATCATCATCATCACCACCACCACCACCACCACACCATCCATCATCATCATCATCATCATCATCATCATCATCATCATCATCATCATCATCATCATCATCATCATCATCATCATCATCATCATCATCATCATCATCATCATCATCATCATCATCTTCATCATCATCATCATCAATCATCATCATCATCATCATCATCATCATCATCATCATCATCATCATCATCCATCATCGCTCATCCTCCCCGCTCCTCCTCCTCCTCGCTCCTCCCCCCACTCCTCCTCCTCCTCCTCCTCCTCCTCCTCCTCCTCCTCCTCCTCCTCCTCCTCCTCCTCCTCCTCCTCCTCCTCCTCCTCCTCCGTCCTCCTCGGCACCTCGATCCCCGCCCCCCGCGCGCGCCCGCGGGCACCGCGGAGGGAGGAGAGGGGGCCGCGAGGGGCGCCAGGGGGGCGCCCGCGCAGGGCTCCGGCAGCTCCAGCTGCTACGAGAACGGCGCCAAGTCGTACACGCTGGACGCGGCCCTGGTCCTCCTCCTCCTCCTCCTCCTCCTCCTCCTCCTCCTCCTCCTCCTCCTCCTCCTCCTCCTCCGTCCTCCTCCTCCTCCTCCTCCTCCTCTCCTCCTCCTCCTCCTCCTCCTCCTCTCCTCCTCCTCCTCCTCCTCCTCCTCCTCCTCCTCCTCCTCCTCCTCCCGCCCCCGGAAAAGGAGGGTCAGGGCTCGAGCTAAGGCGGTGTTCTGGCGACTGCGTGGACCCGTGTCGTGTTCGGTCCGTTTCGCAGCAGAGGCAGAGAACGCAGGCAGAACGGCAAAGCGAAGACACAACGAGAACGACGAACATTGTTCAGTTCGAGCCCTGCAAGAGGGTGGTGCAGGGGGACGCAGGCAGCCAACGTGTTGAAACAATCAGGACGGAGGTTGTTCGCCGTCATCTGCCACCACAGGCCCTCGTCGGCCCCGGGGACCGCCAACAAGACTA